GCCTCCGGCGCCCGGGGAGGACCCACCCCCTGCACGCGCCAGCGGCCCGGGTGACTAATCCGCCTGCGGGCTCCCGACGCCTCCTCCCCGGCTCGTTCAGCCTGCGGGGCGAGGGAAGGTGCCGGGACCCAGCGACACCCCCCTGCCCGCGACCGGCGGGGCGGCGCAGGTGTGAGCCCGCGGGGGCCTGGAGCGGGTAGTGAGCTGCCCCCACCCACCCAAAGGTTAGGAGGAAGCCCCTACCTCCCCCAGGGTCTCCGGGTGGGCCCCCTCCTCTCCAGTCTCCCTCCGTACTAGGGGGCGGGGTGGTGCTGGACTCCGCTCTCTCAGGGCCTCACTGCCCCCGCCCCCGCCCCTGCCTGGTCCCGCGTGGCCGGATGTCCAGCCACGGAGGAGCCCTGGCGACCACCCCGACAGCCATCCATACCCTCCTTCCCTGGAGCTGAAGGCTTCAAGGAGCTTTCCTGTGCCGGGCGAGTGCAAGCACGCCCAAGTGTCCCCAAGTCCCCAAGTGTGCTTTCCCAGGTGTGGCCTCTAGCTCCTGCCTACCCCTGTCCTGGGGGCTCTCAAGTCTGGGCGCGCGGGGCTGATCCTCCCTCCTGTGTGTGTGGATGTATGACACCAGCGTGGCAATGGCTGGGCAGGACTGCCCGGTGCCCCCACTCCCACGCCTGTGGTGAGGGCCAGAACTTCTCCATGCAGCACCTCCAGAGAAATCTGGAAGCTGCTCCCTGCGGATGTGGAGGAGATGAAGGGGTCCTGCTACCTGATCCTTCCAGGCCACAGAGGGAACCTGGTCAGTAGCTCCAAGACTTCCGAGAGGATGGAAGAGGGTTGGGGGGAGGAGGGGGAAGGAAGGGGGGGGAAGGATGAGAAGGGGAGGAGGGGAAGGACAGAGAAGGAGGAGGAGGGGGAGGGAGGAGGAGAGGGAAGGAGGAGGGGGAGGAGAAGGAAGGGAGGAGGGGAAGGAAGGAGGAGGAGGGGAGGGAGGAGGAGGGGAGGAGGGGGAGGGAGGAGAAGGAGGAGGCGGTAGCGGGACGGAAGGGGTGCTGGCAGCCTTATGCAGTCAGGAGAGGCAGAGAAGAGCAGAACGCCATATAAGGAATGGGGCTCCGGAAGCTGAGATTCCCTCGGGAGGGAGGCCCCTTCTGCCTCCCTGGCAACAGTGGTGGGGGAGGGACATCCTTTCTGGGTTACCCCAGGTTGGATGCTTAGGGGTTCCAGGTCCTCTGATGTTATGCGGGCACAGGTAATGCATGCTGCCCAAAGCCAGAGGCAGACACACAACCAGTGAGTCAAGCCCCCCTAGCCCCTGCTGCCAGTTTCCCACTCCCTCTCTCAGACACACTGCACACTCGTGGCCTCCTCTCATACCTCCCCACCCATCCCCCAGACACACTCATACCCCCCATCCATCCCCCAGACACACTCATAGTCCCCACCTGTCCCCCGATCCCTGTCCAGCCCCACTCTGTCTGACTCACACACTCTCTGGAATCCCCACTCCCTGCCCCTCCACCAGGCCCCTTCTCCCTGCTCTCCTGGAAACCCTCCTCCCTACCCCAGAGCCAATCTGTCTCTTTCCCCCTCTGAGCTTCCACCCCTAGTTGGGGGGAAATGTCTTTCTGGCAAAAACTTGCCCAGAATCGCTCTCCTGGCATTTCTAATTAAAGGCGAGTGGGTGGGCAGAAAGGGAGGGTGGAGGGGCAGCGTGGAGTAGGAAGGGGGAGCCAGGCAGAGAAGCTGCGAGAACAGGAATCCCAGAGCTGCCCAGCCCAGTCTGCGTTCCTGGGAACCTGCCTGTGCCCGTGTGTGCGATGTCTTTGTGGCAGGGAGCGTGGCCAGGCCCACAGGTGTGACTGGCTGGTCACCACGGGGCCTGCCTGTAGCTCTGAGTCTGTGTCCACGTCTGGGGTGAGCTCGGGCTTGTGTCTCAGGGCCGTTGTCGGGGAAGACACCTAATAAGCCAGCTGGGCAGGGACCACACTCACGTGCACATGTGTGTGCATGTGTGTGCGTGCGTGTGCATGCATGTGCATGCGTGTGCAAGCAGTGGGAGTGCCAGAGAGCCAGCACGTGAATGACCAGTGGCTTACAAAGACCATGTCACACCTGAGGATGACACTGAGGCCCAGGTCCCCTGACCAGCTGGGTGGCCTGGGCCAGGGCACAGTTCTCTGGGTCTCAGGCCCACAGTGACCTCCAGCCCCCACTCCACCCGACCCAAGCCGGCAGCCGTCGGGCAGGGCTTCCTGGAGCGGGGAGCCCAGCTGGGACCTAGAGGGCCGGAGGGGTTGACCAGACCCAGAAAAGCAACGAAGCGCTAGAGGGGCTGGGGGCTGGGCAAGCATCCCCTTTGTGGGGGGCCCAGGGTGGGGAGAGGATCTCAGACTCCAAGCCCTGGGTGCCCCCCTCCCAGGGCCAGAGCAGCCTGCTGCGGGCACGAGGAAGCACAGTCCAGCGGAGGGGGGCGCTGGCGGGCACGGGGAGACCTGGCAGGACCTGCGCGGAGGCTGCACAGTGCTGGCCGTCACAGGTGACAGGCGACAGCCTTGGCATGGGAACACTTAATCGCTGCCCAATTATCGCCCCAGAAGCCCTCAGCACACCCCCGCACCGGAGCCTCGGGCTCCGTTCTTTTGCTGCCTCCGGAGAAGAGGTCAGGCTGGCTCCCCACCACCCAGGATGGGGGCGTCGGCCCCGCCCTGCTCTGCCACCCCCCTTTCTCCACAAGCAGGGGTGAAGGTGCAGAGTGCGGCCTCCAGCCCCCAGCCTCACCCAGAGCAGGGCAGCTCAGGGCTGCAGGGTGGGGAGAGGGAGGGGAAGCTGTGCAGGGGGGAGGCCTGGGGGATTGCCACCCCCCCTTAGAGCCAAGCTGGTCAGCTGCTCCTTGGACTGCCTTTGAAGGAGGGGGCTCTGTTGGCAGGGAGGGCAGGCCAGAGTGACCACAGGGGGAGGTCTGCAGGCAGCAACCCCCCCAGCCCCACCCCGTTCTGTCCCTTTGGGGTTCCAATCTTCTGCCGCTAGGGTTCCGGACTCCCAGACCCCGGGTGCTGGTCCCTGAGGCTAAGATGCCTATTTGGAGAGGAGATGAGGTCTCCCTCCCAAATGCACGGCCTCAGGGAGCCACACCCCCACCACACCCGAAACAGGGCCCCAGGCCCCGTCTGCAGGTCCTGCCTCCCTCTGGCTGCTTCGTGACCCAGTCCTTTCTTGCAGGGCTCACACCTGCCTCTGGGGCCCCTTAGTGCAGGCTCCCCGTCCCACTGCCCGGCTCCCCGGGTGTGCTGGGGGGTAAAGCTCATCCCGGCCCGTCAGGCTGCATGTGCCTATGGACTCAGCCCTGGGACTTTCCAGACTCCCCCTGTCTGCACAGCTAGTCGCCGGGAAATCGCAGCTAGTCGCCGGGAAATCGCCCGCCGTAACCAGTGGTTAGCAGCACTTAGCCCCCGGGGTGGGAGCGCAGGCTCCGTGGGGGGAGCAGAGCACCAGCTGATGATGCCCCCCCCCCGCCCCATACCAGGGCCGCCGCTGTACCAGCCCCATGACCCTGTCCTTGTGGGGTAGAAGCCGGGCAGCTGGGGTCCACCCGCCCTTCACCTGGCCCTCCCTGCCCAGCCTCGGCCCATGGTCCCTGCCTGCCACCCCGTGGGGCCCTCCTGGGTCACAGGGCCTCACTCCACTGCCCCCCAACCGGTGGGGCTGGAGGGGAAGGACGAGGCCCACCCGGATTCCCCCCGAGCCCTCTGCAGGCCCAGCTCTCCTTCCCCAGCATCTCCTCAAGAGGGGCTGTGTCTTTGGAAGCAGCCCAGGGGCCGGGGATGGCTGCCTTGGGGGGCTGCTGCACAGGCCCCAGGGATGTGGGGTGAGCAGAGGCCCTGGCAGAGCAGCTGGCCCCAGGGCCTGGGCTCCAGAGGAGCCCTTCTGGCCTCACCTCTCCCCCTCCGCCCCCTCTGGGCACCTCCTGCAGGGGGGGCGGGGGGGCTGGGCCCTGGGGAGGCAGGGCCACAGAGGAAGCCTGGAGAGGCAGAGACAGGGCCAGGGCATGGGGCACGGCATCGTGGAGGTGAGATTGGGCCCAAGGGCAAAGAGGAAGGAAGGACCGGTGGGGCGGAGGGGCAGAGAGATGGAGACGCCAGGAGAGCGGGAGAGACAGGGCCCCGGTTCCTTTCTCAAGGAGACATGCTCGCCCTGTTTTCACGCAAGTTCTCAGGGGTGGGGGGCCCTGCCCCGGGCCCTTTAGCCAGCAAGTGGGAGGCGGGGTCCCTCGGCCACACCTGCCTGACGCACCTGCCGCAGCCAGGCCGGCCTCCGAGAGACGGACGCCTGGGAGCCCAGGGCAGAGTGGGGGCAGGGCGGCAGGAACCCCGTCAGCGGCGGGCGCATGCGCTGCTGAGAGGCCTGAGATGGGGGCCTGAGCACTGGCGTGGGGGGCCCCGTGGGAGGCAGAGGTGTCTGGTTGGGGGGGGGCTCCGAGTGAGCATCCAGAGCTGAGGGAACATCTTCTTTCCAATCCTCCCCCCACCCGAACTTCCTCTTGTCTCCAGCTTGGCAGGGTGTGTGTGCCGCGTCCTGTCCCTGGAACAGGCAGCCTGTTCGTTCTGGGCCCCCACACAGCAGACCCTCTCCCCCCCACCTCCTGCCGCCTGCCGCAGCGCCTCCCTCCCTGCGCGGGCTCCAAGGAAAGTTTTGTATTTTTCCGACGAGGCCGGCCCAGAGGGGCCCGAGCCAGCTGCGCCTCGCACCCTGCCAGCACCCGCCCTACGCCGGGAGGTTGAGCCCCAGGGACTGGAGACCATCCTCACCAGCGCCCTGAGCCAGTACGGAAGGGAGAAACAGACCCGGAGAGAGCCAGGGACTTGTCCAAGCTCCGCAGCAAGGAGGCCAGACCAGGGCACTGCGGTGAGCCTGGGTGGGGAAAGGCCTGCAGGCTCCTGGAGGTCTCGTGAGCTCAGTCCGTGCCCTGTGCAACCGTGGGTAAGTCCTCTCAGCCCTGCCCCTTCCGGGCACCCACATTCTTCCCTGTAAAGAATCCTCACCCTATTCGGCCGGGGGGCAAGTCAGTCATTCAATCAGGAACGGCTCCCGAGCCCGACGCGGCAGGTGCTCTTCAAGCTGGGGTGGAGGGGCGTGCAGATGGCCCCATAAAACGGGCATCATCATGACCCGCCCATGGGCCCTGGAGGATGGGGCGCAGGAGGACGCAGGCTGCGTGTGGCTCTAGGCATGCAGCTCAGGCCTCGGCGCGGAGCCTCGGGCTCTTCCCCTCCAGCGAATCAGACTGGCTCCCCTCCCGGCAGAGCCAGGACCAGGGGAGGAAGGAGGCCTCTGTGGTGTGCGGGGTGGGGGGTCTCAGGAGGCAGGTGTGCAGGGTGGGAACCCTGGACAGGTGGGCCCAGGACGCACTGCACGCACGCGGCTCACCGTGTGAGCGCCCACACGGTGTCTGTGTCTCAAGTGTCCCCTTGGTTCGGCAGGTGCCTCAGGCTGGGTCTGAGCATCCACAGAGCACTGGAGGGGCATTGGGCCCCTGCGTCCCCACCCCGCTTCTCCTCGAGGCACTGTGTGACCTCCTGCAGATGCATTAACCCCTCTGGCCCCAGCGCCCTCCTTGCCACACAATGGGCACACCGTACCCAGGGGAGGCCGAGGGTCTTGGCGTGGGCAGCTTGGAGGCTGGCAGCAGTGGTGGGCGCTTACGAGGGGTGGACTGTGAACCTCCCTGTTCACTCTGTGAATGCCCGATCCGACCCATGGCACATCACCCCTGATTCCAGTGACAAAGGCCTGTCTGGTTTTAAAACCGAAGCATAAAAACTCGGCGTGGTTTTACATGTTGTCTAAATCTGAACCCACTGTCACCGCCTCCAGGAAGCCTTCCCATACTCATAGCACTATGTTCACTGGGTCTTTTGTGATCTTGTCCTCCCTAGTGCGTGTCCGGCTCAGAGCCCCTGAGCACGCTGTCTTCCTCTGTGTGTCAGTGTATGAGTGTGAACGTCTGGGCGGGGGGGGCTGTACATCAGTGCCTTCCTGATCCTCTGTCCGAGCAAGGCATGCTCTCGCTCACCGTGCAGCCTCTGAGCCTGTGCTGGGCCTGTGCAGTGGACCAGCCCACCAGGTTCCTCCCCTGAGGAGACTCGGTCTGCTCAGATTCCCCAGCACCCCAGATGTTCTGGGGCCAGCAGCCCAAGGAGCCCCGACGGGTGGGGAGAGCTGGAGGATGAGCAGGGGTGGGCTGGCTGCAGGGGGGCCAGCAGGGCAGGGGGCCAGGATTTCTGGGTTCTGTCCCTCACCAGGGGCAGAGCCGGGAGGGGAGGGTTACTAGAGAGAGGGGACAGGTCCCAAGGCCACCAACCTGGGTCTGTGGAGGGACACAGGGGCTTGGGCGGGGGCAGGAGGCTGGAGAGCTGAGCTGTGGGTGGGAGAAGGTTCGAGGGCTCTGAGGAGGGTCAGGGATGAGGGGAGAGCCAGGGTCCCAGTGTCCTGGCAGTCACGTGTAGGAGCGCCGTGAGGACTCGCAGGTGCGGCTGGGAGCCCGCCTGCGGGGTTGGAGCCCATGGCCACCCCCTCCTCTCTGCCCCACTGGGCCCCCTGCCAGGCTGCGCCGCCCCCGCCGCCTCCCTGGACACCCAGGGGACTCAGATCAGATGGTGCCGCAGGAGCCCCGAGCGTGGCCGGCCCCTCCGCCCGGATGGGGGCTGTGCTGCCAGCTGGCCCTGGCCGGACACCCCCGGAGCTGGGGGTTCAGGACGTCCAGGGAGGGGGTGGTGGCCAACTATCCTGCCGTTCTGTGCCTCTCCATTTAGAGCGCACCCGGCACAGAGCGCCGGCTTGCAGGCACGCTTCCGGAGCCATACAAGGAGACAGGCCGAGAATAGCTCAGTGTGACGCAGCCAGGAGCTTCCCCACACAGGCAGGCTCTGCGCCATGCCTGCGCCCTGGAGGGGCCGCACTGGAGGGACCCCTGCCCCGCACCACCCCTGCCGGAAATGGCTTGGGGTCCCTCTGCTTTCTGTCTGCTAGCCCCTCCCGCCCCTCCCCTGGGGCTGGGGCCTGGGCCTCCTGCCCCTCCTGCTGTCACCCCTGCTCCGGCCATCTTGTCCAGGCAAGACCTCTCTGCTGGGGCCTTGACCTGGATGTCCCAGAGCTGCCGGCCTGGCCACCTTGCTCCGCGGCAGGCCCCACGCCTGCCCCACGCAGGCACCTGGCATCTTCCTGCGCTCCTGCTTCGTGGGCGTGGGCACCTCCCTGTCTGCCGCAGGCCTCTGGGGTTCCAGGCAGAGCCATGATGGTTCTTGGCCCTCAGGGGCCCGGCGTGTGCTGGGCCAAGGCCGCCCGTTCTCCCAGATGTGAGCTCATTCTCCCCCCAGCTGCGAGGCCCACAGGGGTGCCTTGACAGCGCCTGTCCCCAGGGCCTCGTCACCTCCCTTGGGGCCCCAGGCCACACCCTGCCATAGCTGTCCTGCAGCTCTTACTAATTTTGAACGAAAGGCCTCTGTTTCCATTTCGCCATGGACCCCAGCAATGATACGGCCAGTCCCGCCTGCCAGGGTCCCTTCCCCATCCTGGGGGTGGGGGTCCGCTCTTCGGTGATCTGTCTGGAAAGAGGGTCGACACAGAGACTACGTGGGAGAAGGGGGCCCCACTGCATACTGAGCATCACCCTGAACCTTGGAATAGCTGGGCTGGGGGTTGGGGTGCTGGGGAACCCGATCAGGGAGCCAGCGGTCCTGGTACTTCCGAGCACTGTCATCTGCCACTGTGCAGGGTGGGACTGAGCGACTCCAGACACCCTCTGAGCCTTGGCCTCTTTAGCTGACGGGGGGTCGCTCCATAGAGGCTCATCGTGGATGGCAGACCCCGAGGTGGGTCAGCATGTCTGGGGCACAACCCACGTCCCTCATTCTGCGTTCTTGGTCTTAAGAACTGTGTCTGGGGCAGGTGCCTGACTGGGGAATTTGGGAGGGATGGCACCAAACCCTAGTCGGGGGGCCACAGTGCAAAGAGGCCGGGGTGCTTTGAGGTGGGAGATGACCTCCTAGGCATCTGCCTGGCCTACTACGTGCCTCCCCCTGGTTTCGGGACACCTGTCTGTTCCCCACAAGCCAGTGTGGAGTGCAGAGCTGGGTTGGGAAGGCCAGGGTGGGGCTACTGGGCTTCTCCCACCATCCCTGGACAGGACCTGGCCGATGTTCCTTCTTCCCTCTCCCTGAGCAAGCTCCAGGCCGGCCTCCAATATCCTGAGGTTCAGGAATTGTCCAAGATTGCTGAGGAAACGATGCACAGCACAGAACATGATGGTTGTCTGCGCCCCCAACCTCCTGTCTGGGCTTTTCCCACTTCATGGATCCCTCCAAACGCACATTCACTCGTCCCTGACCAAAGCGGGGATGGTGGAGGGGCAGCGCTTGGAGGACAGGCCTCTAAGGCAGGGCATTGGGGCAGGCTGGCTGGGGGCTTGGGCTGCGTGGGGCCTCAGAATGAGGAAGGGGTGGAGCCCCCAACCTGGGGGGTCAGCGCCACACACCACCCCCAGAGCAAGACTGTCGCCCACCCCCATGACTGCCCTGTGGGCAGCTGTCCTCCCAGGACGCAGTGCTTGTCTCTTACCTGCAGGTGAGGGGATGCTGGGCCCCATCAGTTCTTGAATGCAGGCAGGGCTGGACTCCAGGGCTCTTCCCGCCGCAGCCCCCCCTCCCAGACCCATGGCCGCCCCTGCCCTCTGCTCTGTCTTCCTCCTCTGTCCCTCACCAACCACTGGCATCCTAGGCCCATCCAGGGCCCGGGCGCCACCTGCTGGCTGTGCGCCCACCTAGCACGTTCTCTGGCCTCCCCTCGACCCCTCTCCCCCTCTTCCTTCCTCCCCGCTCCCCCTCTCCCCTCCTCCCCCTCCCCCTCTCTCCCCTTTGCTGAACTTCAGTTCCTCTGTCTCCAGGCCTGATGCCACCGGCCTGACCCCTCAGCCGTCCTTGCAGATGGTGGTCACCAATGCCACTTTCCTTACTCAGCGGCAGAAGGAAATCAGGCCCTCCCTGTGTGGGGCTGGGGCTGGGGACAAACCACCAGGGGAGAGGAGAAGGAGCAGGTTAGGAGGATGGTCCTGGATATGGCCTCTGGGGGGCAGTTGTCCGACCCTCAAACCTGGAGGTCAGAGTGAGGGTACAGGGCCCCTGGGGGATGCCCCCAACCCACTGCAGTTCCAGCTCAGCACACCCACACCCACACACATGCCCCTCTGGATGGAGAATCAGGGCCCTTTCTGCCTAGCAGGCCCCCAGACTTTACCCCCCATCAGGCTTCTGCAGGCCCCCAGACCCACTCCTGTAAGGGCCCAGAGCACACCCCCTTCACTTCCAAAACCTCAGCTAAAGCCACAACTCCCACATCCTGCCTCTTTGGCCTCCTCCTGCCCAGGGGCAATGGGAGCTATGAACCAGGCCTTCGCCTCCCCCTCCACTGAAGGATGTCACCCGCCTATCCCAGAACCCTCAGGCCATCCTCAGGGCCCCATGTGTCCCCCACAGGTGGGGCTCCGGGTCTTGGCTCCTTCAGACCTGGGTCTGGGCAGGGCCTGGGAGTCCGGGGAGCCTCAGGGAGGAAGTCAGACACCCCCAGACACTGGCCTCAGCCAGGAAGAGTCAGGTTTCCCGCGCCTGAGGCTGCCAGGCTGACACTGGGAAGAAGGCAGACAAGGGGCTCCCCTCCCTAGGCACTGCTCCCCCCCTCCCGAAGCCACCCAGGCCAGAGAGGGATGACTGAGGTGGGTCCCTCACCAGAGCAGAGGCATCAGTTGAGCGATTTACGGCGTTCTGCCCCATTTCTATAGCAGGGGCAGCTTGGGGAGTGTCCGGCTGCCTGCCTGCCTCAGCTGGAAATGAGCCCTTCGTGTTTGCCTAACCACCACATGATGAGATGAGACCACATTCCCTGAACTGAGTGGACACTGCTTTTTCCTACATAAGAATAAAATGCCA